CGATGGGCTATGCCTACTCCAGTGGGTTGTAACAGTCGTGAGACTGCTTCGGGGACTCCTTTTATGTTCGGAATGGCCCTCCAAACTTCGGGCTCCTGTTACACCGTCAGACGTCTGCTAAGTCGGCGCTTGCTTTATTTGATAAATGAGGTCGGTATCCATTGGCTCGGAAGAGTTCACGATGATACTGTTGTTCAACTCTTCTGTCAGCAGGAGTGCTGCAATGTGTTTCAACTCTTTGGAAAAGAGTATGAACGCAACTGCGTTTGTGACACAGAGGGTGATTACTGTTGAAATGTAACACTTGATTAGTGTCGGTGGCCTTTCTGAATATTGTGGTTTGCAGTAATCCAGTTGAACACCGGCGCACAAAGACATCGAGGAAGGGTAGTTGGTTGTTTCTTTCAGCTTGGATATTTGGATCAACCGAGTTCAGTAAAATATTTGAGGTGCTCCATGTCAGCTGTTTTAACAATGACGAATGTGTCATCGACATAACGAGCCCAAAATTTTGGTTGATATTTCGCGAAAACCAAGTGTCCTATCGGTTGGAGGACCATTTCAGCAATCAGGCCCGATAGGGGGGAGCCCATGGGAGTGCCTTTGATTTGCTCATACATTTGCCCATCAAATGTGAAGGTTTTAAGGCAAGTTTGTAGAAGTTTGAGCAAATGTTCAGACTTCAGAGGTTTGTCACTTCCGTCGTAGCGTTCGTTTAGAAGTTGCCCCACGACATCAATCACTAGTTGCTGTGGGATCGAGGTGAATAGTGAAACAAAATCGAAGGATACCATTGATTCATGTGGTTCCAACTTCAGATGTTTTATCCGTTCAAGGAATTGTTTGGCAGAAGCTACGGTTGTTGTTGAGCCTACTGCTAAGAACTTCAGATCAGTGAACATCCATTTTGCCAAACCGTATGTAGGGGTGCCACGAAGGGAGACGATTGGTCTAAGTGGAATGTTTTCTTTGTGAACTTTCAGCAAACCATAAAATCATGCTGGGGCTGTGTCGATCGGTTTCATGGAAAACCAATCGCTAGACGTGATTGCACCGTTTGCTTTGAGTTTTGCCAGACGCTTGCTCATTCGAATGAGTAAGTGTTTCATTTAACTGGCTGGATATGTCTTGTACGAACTTTGGTCGTCAAGAAGGTTGTGAGCTTTCGCTCGCTAATCAGATTTGTTGAGCACTGCTGTGGAACGACATTTGTCAGCCGGCAGAATGATTATTTTTTCATCGGCTTTTAGACTTTTTAATGCTCTCTGTCCCTCTCGGTCAAGAGCTTCACACTGGTTGCGTTGCATAAGCAGCGATGATGCTTTATGGCGGATTGACTCTTTTGTATCCTCTGAGGCATTTGATGATTGAAGGGCTGACTTAAGGGCGGCTATGAATTCAGCGGGTGAAGCATCTCCTGTGTTGAAAGTTGTTCCACGTTGTAGGATTGCGAGATGTGTGGCGGCGAGGGGTTTGGATAAGAGGTTGTGGACCAGGGCTGAGTTCTTATTATCGGCCGAACCGAACGTAAGAATGCCAAGCGAAGAGGACCCCACAACGAACCGGCCGGTAGAGGAGGCAGGGTTACCAGGACCCTCTACCGTGGGGACAAGGCACGAAACTAATTTGTGTTCATGACCCGCCCGGTTATTTTGCCATCCATGCCTGCGACCAGAAACCAGAGCCCAGTTCTCTACAAGCATGAAGGTTGCCACGTCAAGGTCATACGCCGTAATTCCAGGGGCGCGCGCAAGAGACAAACGATAAGATAGCGTGGAAATGGATGCAGCGTGGACATGGACCAATCGCAAGCGCCACCCCCCCCACTACCAATCGCATTCATGCGTAGCCAACGCTTGCTATTGTCTCATTTTCTCTGATGATGGCTCCTCGTGTGGAGCCGAAAACTCAGGACAATAAATTAATTGATCCGGTGCTCGAGTCATCGTTTACCATTTCTAATGCACATGTTATCAGCAAGACTGCGCAGAAGTGTGCTTTCACGACAATATATCTTGGGGGACCAAACGCTTGAAACCGTGAGTGTGCAAGCAGACCTGCTTGTCATAACCTAGTGCTCCAATGTCGCAGCGAGATTAATGTGGGTCATGGGTGACGTACGAAAAACATTTGTTTACCCGAATACAGATATCTTCGGAAAAGTATATGGAACATTCATGCGGCCGCATCTGGAATATGCAATACAGGCTTGGGGGTCTAATGCCAAGCGAAAGCCCCCTTTATGGCCGATCGCTATGTATCTCTATAAATAGAAATTGGACAGATATCTAAAAAGGGGTG